TATGCCTTCACAATTTCAGCTTGTTGAAGTTGTGGTATTAAAAGTCTCTTGTTTTCACACTCATTGTCACCAACCTGGATGTATATAAACCACGCCAGCCCCACTGTTAAAGCTGTAGGGCTTCAGTTTGCTTGGGATTCCAAGTGTGACTGAGGGAGGAGGACCTCAGCTGATTCAGCATGAGCTTACTGTGTTTTAGGCTTAGGGAAAGAGTTATGATTGACAGTCTGGGGATGATGAAATGATTGGAATGATTGACAGGTGTCCTTCTGGTGCATCTCAGAGATGTGCAATTTATTAATATGTGTGGGACATTAGTGGGAGGAGAGTTCTTGGGCATTTTCAGATGAACACACACTGATTGATTGCACCTCCATTTGCGCGCAGAATGCAAGCACTGGAGAAATGAAAGTGAAACCTAAGCACTCAAGGCAAGAAGCTACTTCAACCATATTAGGGGCACAAATGGACAGCATTTATCATATGTCAAGATAAAAATATTTTCTCACATATTGGTTGGTATGTAAGTGATACATCAGAGGATGATAGGTTTGAATTTAAACATGGAAGGAGCATCCCACTCTTTCACTGTGCATGTAACTGAAAAGAGACAAATGGATGGTTTTAGGCCAAATGTCTCTGTGACTGTGCATTTAAGGTGACGCTGGAACTGCAGAGGACTCCCCCCTGACATGGGCTCGACAGGAGTGTTTGTGCACAGGGGATGTGTGAGCATACATAAGTGTGTACTTGTGGGCCTCATGAGAATGTGAATATCAGTGTGTGTGTGTCTGTGAGAAATGTGTGAAAACCACTGAGGCCAGTGGAGCTGGGCTGGGTCCCCTCACTGTAGGCATGGCCTCACATGCCACACCTCAAGGAGAGAGCCCCCTCTCTCTTCTCCCCTGTGCCTCACTGCCCCTTTCTTCTCTTTCTCCTTTACCTCATTACCTTTCAGCTTTGTGCTTATACTGAAAGAAGGAGGAAATATTGCACATACTCATAAGTCAATCATTCTGGAGAACACTAAGCTAAATAAAACCATGTTGGTGAAGAAAAAGTAGTGCTTACAGGTATTGTTAAAGGCAAATACTGACTGACTCCTGGAGACAGGAAATCATAGCTTGAAAATATGTAGTTGATGCCATGGCCTGTTGTGTGCTGACACATCATATATACTACAGGGCGGATAGTGTGAGAGGAATGTCAGAGAAATGGTCTGGGATGGACTGAAAATAAGTGCAGAGAAGAGTGAGATACACGAGTGTGCAACATGAGAGCTCACCAGCTGAAAGAGTGAGATAAATGAGTGTGAACCAAAGAAATAAATGTTAGTGATGTAAATGTGAAAAATCTAGTATCACCCCTCCCCATCCCCCAGACCCCCAGGATCACGGTTCTTAGAAAGATTGGTTTACCGCATGCACTATACAGTATGATGGAGGAGCTGTGCTGGGGAGGGCGAGAGCTAGGGCGAGGAGCCCACCAGCAGCAGCGATAGAAACCCACCAAGCCCACCACTTGTCTAAGCACGAGCCTGCACTCCACGAAAAACCCAGAGGAGCAGCCCCTCACCCCCCGCCACACTAACCACACCTCGCCAAGGAGCATTGTCATACTGAAAGCACAGCAAACTCAGATCTGCCTTTACTGCTGTCTCTCTGCTTTGTGTGTGTGTGTGTGTCTGTGTCTGTGTCTGTGTCTGTGTCTGTGTGTGTATTTGTTTGTTTGTGTTTGTGTACATGTGGGTGTGTGTGTGTGTGTCTGTGCCCACCACTGACTCTGGATCTGTTCATCTATCTGCATAATTTCTGACAGAACCCAGAAGACCATTTTAACATGCTGAACCATGGCAGGGCTCTCTTGGGTGGCTCATTCCCAGTTTCAGAATGGCCTCTCTCTACTCCCACTCATCAGGAGTATATTCACATTGTTATATCAATTGCAGTGATTAAGGCTATGAGCAGCAGTGAATGTAGGCACACAGAGCAAAGTATGAAACCCTTCTAGCTGCTCCACACTCGCAAGCAGTCACCTCTGACTCATTGGATTTAAATTGGATTCTGTGTGTGTTTCCACCACTGACCCTCAGATCTGTGTGTTCCGCAGAGGCGCAGCTCCTTGCCGGATGAGACTAACGCTGCTCTGCTTCAGGAAGAGCTGAAGCTGGTGAAGCTGAGAGAGCTGGAGATACTGCAGTCCTTCAGTGAGATGCAGGGCACTGTCGCTGATCTCAACCAGCTCTGGCAGGTAACATTCACATGCACAGAGTGAGAGAGGGATGGGAGAGAGACAGAGAGAGATACTCCAAAGGGATTGCAGCCTAGATCTGTTGTCCAAAATGGGTACTGTCTGTCAGTTTTAGAAAAATCCTGATCTCAGGCAAACAGGTACCATTTTGCTCTGGCCAGCTTAGTTTTGGATCACGGCACCAACTACTACTATAACCATTAAGACCCAAAAATTTCCATGTTAACATTTAAAAACAAATGCATTGAAAACTGGATAAACAGGACAAAATTAAACAACTGTCGGAGCTCCTTATAGAAGGAAGAATACAAGATGTTCTCAGGTGATTGGGACAGAGATCCACTTCCCGTTAGCATGCTAAAAATCCACAAATTACACAAATCCTTACATAGGAAAAATTATTTCCCAAAATTTGAATGACAGACCCCAGTTTAACATCCTCTCAGGCCAAGGTAAAATCTCCATCCTTCTGAAAAGGAAGAGCAAATGGCAAACCTGATAGCTAAATTTGTGTCTCCTTGCAAAAGCCATGCAACTCTTAGGTAGATGTCTCAGCGGAACAGCATCAACAGTTCAATGTTCCTTATGTTAGATTTACGTTGTTATTACAGACGGTCCCCAGCTTACAATGGTTCGACTTATGATTTTTCGACTTTACGATGGTGTGAAAGCGATACGCATTCAATAGAAACCGTACTTCGAATTTTGAATTTTGATCTTTTCTCGGGCTAGCGATATGCGGTATGATACTCTCTCATGATGCTGGGCAGCAGCAGCGAGCCGCAGCTCCTACTCAGCCACCCGATCACAAGGGTAAACAACCGATACTCTACAGTGTACTGTGTTGCCAGCGTTTTTTGTTATAATGTTGTAAGATGTTGTAAGTTTTTCACTTTCAGTACAGTATTCAATAAATTACATGATATTCAACACTTTATTATAAAATAAGCTTTGTGTTAGATGATTTTGCCTGACTGTAGGCTAATGTAAGTGTTCTGAGCACGTTTAAGGTAGGCTAGGCTAAGCCATGATGTTCGGTAGGTTATATGTATTAAATGCATTTTCAACTTACGATATTTTAAACTTATGATGGGTTTAGCGGGACGTAACCCCATAAGTTGAGGAGCACCTGTACTGTGTTTCATTTTAATTTGTATGTAGTTGATGTATTTGAGGTTTCTTCTTTCCTCTTTATCTCAGTGTATTACTTAATGCCACTACTTCCCACTATAGCACTATTGTCAGCATGTAAATTATTTTTATTTTTCAATTTTTTTTGTCCCCAACACGTGTCATCTTTTGTAATCTTGCATTGGTGATATTACACATTATAAAGCCAAGCCAATGAAGCATTTTGAATCCTGCATCTTCAGAGTAGAAGAATAAAGGGGGAGATGGAGTGGTTGGAGAAAGAGGATATAAAGAGAGAGAGAGAGGGATCAGAGGTGTCTCGAGGAGGGGGAGGAGGGCACTGGAAGGACTCTCCAAAGAAGAATGCCATGAACAAGCTGCAGGACAAGCTGATGGGGGTTCGACTGCGTGAGGCCCAGGCCCAGGCCCAGGCGGAGCTGAGGGAAGTCAGGCTGAAGGCCCTGCAGCTTGAGAGCCAGGTCGGCGCTGACCCCTAAAACCTGCCCCCTGACTTTGCAGTTGCTTTTTTCTGTCAGGGACACAGAGGCAGAAATACAGTGTGATGCATTCCGTATCAGTGGGTGGTCAGTCTGCTACATGGTGTTAGACACAGACATGGTGAGATGTTTTAATGAGGTGTCCCTCCTTCAGAATCAGATACACAGCAAGCTGGTGAGTCGGCAGGAGCAGGAGAGTGCCACCCTGCAGGACAGGCTGCAGTACCTCATGGCACAGAACAAGGGTCTGCAGGCCCAACTCAGCGAGATGAAAAGGAAGTGGGCAGAGTCTGAGTGCAAGGTAGCATTGCCATGGAGGCTCACTACTGAATCAGCTTGAGGCAGTCTGAGCCACACTGAGCCATCAGTGCTGAGCTATCCACACTGAGCTATTCATATTGAGCTATCCACACTGTGAGCCATCCGCACTGAGCTACCCATATTGAAACTTCCACATTAAGCCATCCACACTGAGCTATCAACACTGAGCCATCTAGACCAAGCTATCCACACTGAGCTATCCTGAACTAGTGGTATTTAAGTGGATCCCTTGAAAGAGTGAGATGGTCTCTTAGACCGCTCAGAGGTTGTGTGTTGTCAGATAATTCAGTGGCCCATTAGTGTAAAGAAAGCTAAATTAATATCCACACAGCACTCCCTTACAAGGATGTGAATGTGTAGTTCAGGTGTCCTTTTGTATAAGCAAGGGGGCATATTTCAATAAAGGAAATGTTTAGAAGTGTCTGTATTACTAAATAAAGGAACATGAGGCAGGTGTAGGCCCTCCCAAATTGGCTGCACATACTGAAGGTGCGTAGAGAGTGCAGTCTTGCACACAGACTGTGGACGTATGAGCTGTTCTCGCCGTTCTGTGCATCTCTCAGAGTAAGGAGGAGGTGATGGCAGTGTCAATGTTAGATGTCAGATGTCAATATTAAAGTGTCAGTGTGCAAGTGTCAATGTTAAATTGTCAGTGTTAAAGTATTAGTGTGCGAGTGTCAGTGTTAAAGTGTTAGTGTGAATGACATGGACTAACATATACAAGGTCCATGTTTGTATTTTCTTCCCCAGTGATACAGCTGTTAATCTCATGGCAGTATTCTTGTTTGCAGCTTTTTTTAGGGCTTGTTAGTCTAGGGGTATGATTCTTGCTTAGGGTGCTAGATGTCCCAGGTTCAAATACCGGAGGAGTCCTTGCATCATGCTTGAGTTGGCAAATCTCGAACGGAACTGTGCGAGCTTTCCTTAGTCTCTATTCCAAATTGCCTGACACCTTTTGTCTTCCTGCCTGTGCCATCCAACCCTGCAACTAATTCAGAATGCAGCTGCATGACTTGTCTACAACCTCCCTGAACGCAGTCAAGTTACACCACTCCTCGCCTTACTTCATTGGCTTCCTGTTATCACTCACATCAAGTTCGAAACCTTGGTGCTGACATACAGCCCCCTTATATTTAAAATCAGTCTTCAAACCATATGTACCACCCAGATCATTACGCTCTACAACCATGTGGCAACTGACTGTCCCATCTTGACAGGGTTGCTTCTCTCAGACACAATCCCTGTCTGTACTGCTCCCTTAGTGGTGGAATGAACATCCCACAGGGGTCATAACAGTGCAATCAGTGGCCATTTTTGAAGGTAGACTGAAGACCCACCTCTTTAGACTGCACAGGTTCCACCCCCCAATCCCCACCCCCTAACACCTGCTTGGTGTTTATTTTATATGTAGTGTTGTGTAGTCTAGTGACTGTAGTATACTTGGCTTTCCTTGTCTTGTCAGGTTGCATAAGTTAACTTGTGGTAGGGCTTGAATAGTGTTTTACTCACTCTGGTTCAGGAATGTTGTTAGCTTGGTCTGGCACTCATTCAACCTGTTACTCATTCAACTGCAATGGATACACTTTTGTTCTTTTGTGCTGGAAGTCGCTCTGGATAAGAGTGTCTGCTAAATAAATGTAATGTCAAATGTAATGTTTAAGTGTTAGTGTGCGAGTATCAGTGCTGCACAGTTGTCTTTGCCAATATAGTGAAGTTTTCCAGGCACTGCAATGTGTGTGTATCTGTGTCAGCTTTTGTGAGTCTGACCGTGTGTGTCTGTATGTGTATGTGGTCATATTGTGAGTGTGACCATGTGTGTGCATGTGACCATGTTTCTGTGGTAGTGTGTCTGTGTGTGCATGTTTTAGTGTTTGATGTGTTTTGGTGTTTGTGTGTGTGTGTGTGAATGTGTGTGTGTGTGTGTGTGTGTGTGTGTGTGTGTGTGTGTTAATGTGTGTGCAGTGTGAGGGTGTGTTACTGTATGTGTGAGTATGAGCATGAAAATGTTAGCGTGTCTGAATGTGAGCGTGAGGACGTGTTAGCATGTGCATGTGTTATTGTGGCAGTATATTGGAGCAGATCAGTGTGTCAGAGAGTGTGTGTCTGTGTTCCAGAAGGAGGAGGGCCAGCTCAACCATTCAGACTCCAACCAGTACATCACCCAACTGCTAGAGCAGATCGCTGAGCTAAAGTCTGAGGTTATACTGCCCCTGTGTTTGTGTGTGTGTGTGAGTGTGTGTTTGTGTGTGCATTGCATATATGCGTGTATCCATTGTCTGGCCCAGATGGGGGAATGCTTGGCGCACAAAAACACATGCACTGCATAGTTGTGACTGCTTTACAGTATATAACAGTACTGTTCAGGAAATTCCTGTAATGTGAGAGCTGGGTGAGGTTATGGGTCTTTTGACCCTGAGTGATCTTGATTGACTTTGAGTGAGCCTTTAATGCTGCTGCTCCTACTGTTGTAAGAGCAGGAGGCATCTCTGTATTGCAACTCAGATATCCCTCCCTCCATACACACATGTCTGCAAACATACATACACACTTCCTTGGTGTGGGCTTATAGTGGACGGTTGGATAACACTGGCTGTGTTTCCCTTCTCCCTCTTTCTGTCTGTCCCTCTGTCACTCTTCGTCTCCCGCTCTCCTCCTTTTCAGATCAGGCAGTTATGTAGCCAGCCCTCCCGTTACCAGTCCCCTGGACACGCGGGCTTCCAAAGCCTGTGCCTGGCCAGCCCAGCGTCGGGGGAAGGAGAGTACCTCAGCTCGGACGACGACCTGCTGCCCAGTCCACTACTCTTTATCCATCCCTGACCCAGCCCTGCCACCCTGCCCCACACCTCGATAGTGAAGGCAGCACTGAAAGCGAAGGGGAGGAGCAGGGCAGAGCTACGCATGTTCTGCCCCCTCCGGAGATCTTTCCCGGTATGCTGTGTGTAGAGGACAACTGAGTGGAGCAGGAGGTACCAGTGACACTCACAAACACACCCACATAACAGCACCCATCCCCCCTCTTCTCTGCATTTCCTCTGGCTCCTGTGCTTCTGTCTTTCCTCAGGAAACTGTCTTGCAAAATAAGTTCCCAGCTTAGTATGTTCCAGAGGTCATTGTGAACATCACAGTTAATGTGAGTGCTACGCTGAACAAATGTGCAGTATGAACAAGAAGCAACATGAGATATAAACAATAAAAAGGCTTTCAAGGTGTGGAGATCTACAGATAAAGGGGTGGCTCTATGTGTTTTGGTCTCTCACTAGCTGAATAGGACAGTGCCAGAAAATGTTACATGTTACAGCCAGAAAAATGCACATCATAGTTAGCTAAACAGCCAAATCTCAATTTTCTCATTTCTTTCAAGTAAAAATATTTGACTAACTAGCTATTCTATATCTGAATGTTTACATGGTAACTAGGTAGCTAAAGGCAGAATACTGTATGATTTTGATCTTGGATTGAATATTTGAAATTTTGCTGTGTGATGGAATAGGTACTGTAAGAATGACTGAAATTCACCACTTCATGGTGCCACCTTTTTGATCTTGGAACTTACTTTTTTGGTTGTAGAATTTATTTTACACCACATGTGTGATTCAGCACTTAAAAACAGCACAACACAGTGTGAGAGTCATACTGGAAGCACAGACATATGTGTATCAGTGTGGAGCAGCTGGGACCCCTGAGAGATGGGGGCAGAGCAGACCCTCTAGTTTGGTGGGCCCTGTTGCCTCCCATGGTTCCCCTGTGTCTAGGTGACAGTAGGGGGCACCCCATCCTTCCCATAGGTTTGCTGTGTGCTGCACTCTGACATTCAAAGGCCAAAGGTCAGTCAACCTCCCTGTCTATGTAATGCAGACATGCAGTGCAGTACACTCTTACCACTCTCCTACAAAGTCCATACAAAGTGACTCTCTCTCCATTTCTGTCCCTATTGCTCTCCCCCATCTTCCCTCTCTTTCTGTCTCTCCACTCTTTCTCTCACTCTTTCTCTTTCTTCTCTTCCTCGTCCTCTCCCTCTCTTTTTCCCCTTTCTCCCTCTGTCACTTTCTCCATACTTTCTGCTCAAAAGTTTTTTCTCCCTTTTTATGTAGACCCAGTTGTTGCACACCCCCAACACTGCCTTGCATAAGGCTGCACCTGGATGAGACACTGATGACACCATTAGATAAGGGGCTAAACCAAGACAGAGGGAAACCATTTACAGAGCTCAGGATAACCACGGTCTTTTCCTTTTTCAGTAATAAACGTATTACTGCCAGATTACATACAGAGATCATGCCAATGTGTACATATATTTATGTGCACTTGTGTGTGTCTTAAGGGAGGCTTACTCATTTCAGTTTCCTACTTGTAAAGTAAGTGTCAGGACTCAGAATAATAAAAAGAAGAGAGGGGAAATCTCAACATTGTCAGATTTTTTAAGCATGTTATTTATTTTGATATAAATAATTTTTATATACTCTGTAGGACTTTATCTGTGAGAATACATTCCGTATAAATCCAGCCTGGTGCAGGTAGGCAAATGCTGCGTTCCACTCCACCCCCCCACCACACGCATTGCCTGACACACCCACCTCCCTCTGATAGAAAGCCAGGCTTTCTGTGGAAACACATCCACAAGAGGAGGCTCTGACAGCACCACAGAGGCCATAATAAGGAAAGTCAGCCCCTAGTAAGGAAAACTGAAGTGAAACTGTACTGAAAAGAGTGCTTAAGTACTTAAAGACTGGCCTGTAGCTACTTTGCAATCCCTGCATCTTTGTAACACTCAGTATATTGTTGTCAGTATATGTTTTTTTATAATGGTACTGTATTATGATGTATCAATACCAGTCCTGCTGGAATTCTATATATCTGTGGCATCACTTCCTGTTTGCGATCCCTCTTTGGGGTTAAAGTGTGGATGAATGAAAGGGTGTTGTTGTAAACCAGTGCTAAACAGCTCCATGGTTAGCTTAGGGGTAGCATCCAGGTGTACCCATGGCATCTCTCAGGTTTCTTACATCATCATCATGTGATCAATCACCTGACCTCAGACATACACACAGATATATCAGAGGTGGGCAGGGGTTTGTTCGTTTAAAGGTTAAGGCTCAAACACAGCTAAAGCATGCGGGATGACTGCATATCGAAATATGCGAGTATCTGCAAGACATCCTTATTCAGTTTGGGAAACAGTCACATCACGATGAGGTCAGAATGTGTATTTTACTGTGCCACCTGTCAAGGGGCCACCTAGTGTGAGAGAAGAGCCTAGCAAAGGCATGGCAGGACTCCTTATTGGCTGAAGTGTTTATTACAATATCAGATTTATATAGTATATGTAGCATATTAAAATGTATTCCATTTACATGAAAATTGTTTTAAAGGGTACTGTCACCAGAAATCAAAGATTCAGTATGGTGTTACTCACCTTGATGATAGTGCATATCAACACAAAAAGGTTTGATTTAAGCAATAAGAACATTAGCTAATTTTGCATTTATCCAACTCCTGTTCAAACCCCAGAAACCTTTGCTGCACTTCTCCTTCTCTGAAAATCAAGTTGTTGTTCCTCGCTGTTGACCACGTAAAAACATAAACCAAATTTAGTGGCATCTTGCGTGGATGTTGGAATGTGTGGACTAAGGGACCCAGCTGGCCTTGTCTCCTGTGGAGTGAAGCCTGTTTATTCTGCCACCCCATTCTCATGGATTGTCCTGGTGTTTAGTCTGTGTGGTGAAATGCACTACAGCACATGGTCACTTGTGTTAATTTAGATGAACGCTCTGATGGAACAAAAACTAGAAAAACACTGTGGCACTCCAAGGCTGGGGCTGCTCCTGTTCTGTCTGACTGCAGGATGTCTGCCTCTGCACATGTCTAGCTGTGTG